GGTTTCACAGGCTTCCTTTTGACATGTCCTGCCCAGTGAGGGCCTGGCCCTGAACCGTTTTTCATCACTATCATAGTGATATTTGCAGCCTGTATTTATTGCTGGTGTTATTGTTGCTTTCACTGTAGCAAAGAACTGGAAGCAACCTAGATGTCTAACAACAAATGAATGGATCATGAAAATTTGGTGTTTGTATCAAATGGAATACTATTCAGCTCTAAAGAAAAATGCGACCACAAAATGTGCAGGAAAATGGATGGATTTAGAATTCATAATATTCAGTGAGGTCACACAATCTCAGAAAGAAAAAAATGCACAATTTCCCTCTATAATGTGTGTATGTATCTTTGTTTAAATATATATGTTTAATATACATTTATTATATATAATATGTTTATATATATTTAAGCAAAGATATACATGGGTTCAGTATAACATTTAGAAGAGAGAAGAAAAGCTAAATACTAGGAGGTGCTGTAATGGACACAAGATAGAAAGAGGATTTAAAGCGAATTGTTTTTCTAGTTTTAACTCTGTCATGGATGTTTCAGCTTTGGTGGTAGCTAAGTGTGTAAAACACGTTTGTGAGAGTGTAAGATCCAGCGTGACACTCCACAGCTGCCGCACATCTGTCCTTAGAAGTCCATTGAGGTGTGTATATAGACTTCAGGTCTGGCGGCTTTCTGTGTGTGGTGCTTTTAATTCCCAGGTTATTTTCTTATAATAAAGTTAATTTAAATGAAAACATTTTACACTTTACACCTGTGTTTGCACAAATCCAGTCACAGCTTCTTACTGTGATGCACCACAGACCCACAGTGTACGATCGCAGCTACTCAGCTCTTCAGAGCGGAGTGACATACCCACAGGTTTGTCTGAGGTGCTGGTGCTCAGCAGAACCTGATTGTTTGAGGAACTTTGCCTCTCTTCAGGCTCCCCTGTGTGCACTGCAGAGGAATTTCCTGCTGTGTTTGGGGCTGGTGCGTACTCCAGTGGCTTCGCACGGGTTAGGATAGTGATAAATGCCTCTGTCTCCACGACCTTTTCAAGCAGGAACCGTAGAAGGTTCTGCTGTGAAGTAAACGTTTACATCATGAATGCTTTGATGTCAGGGGAATATTTAAGCAGTCTGACATTTCACTGGATCAGGATTTGGTATCCGCAAATGTCATAGTTCAAGAAGTAGTGATTTATTGTTTTTACTATAAACAAATGAAGCTTTCTGATTATATTCAAATGTTTGGTGACTTAAATTGTTGCTGTTCAAAGACATGAGGCTCTGTGTGTGTGTGTGTGTGTGTGTGTGTGTGTGTGTGTGTGTGTGTGAGCAAGTTACTGTTGCCGTAGAGTGGATCACCTACCGAGTACTCGTTTGAGGAGAGCAATTTGCCACTTAAAAAATGAAGAAGTCCAGCCGTGCTTCATGTGCATTTTGACCTCACATGAAGCATAATTGTAAGGTCTGCTCCAAGAGTGTCTGAGTGTGTATTTTGAGAAGCCTTTGAGCTGAAACCATCTAAGTACTGTAAACACTTACACAGGGCCTTCCATATACATTGTCGTTGGCAGAAAGAGAGCAGAAATCGTAGAGAACAGAAATGGAATGTGCACGGGAACCCAGGGACAGAGACTGAGTCTCAGATGTTTCTGCTGGGAAAGTAGGTAGATGGTGAAGCCTGTGTGCTTCTCCGTGGTTGAGTCTATGCAGGGGTGACTGATCAGTGAAACATCCGGTTGTGGAAGGTCTAAGATGGATACTAAGGAAATTCTAAGTTGGCGTTAGTGATGGAACCGTAGACAAGGTGAGCATTTTCCCCACATGCATGAGAGACACTGGCCTTCTCATGAAGTCAACAGTGATGCCTCTGAGGTCTAGAACTCTACATGCCAAGAATTTAAAGAGTTCTTATGTTGGTTGTATCTGAAGAGGCAAGCAAAAGGAAATATACTCCTTCCCTTGAAGATTGCCCCTTCAACCCAGGCCCCTAGGGGGTCCAAAAACAACGTTCCAAGGGATATCAGCATCGCATAGTCAAAAAACATACATGCCAGGTGGTGGTTGTGCATGCCTTTAATCTCAGCACTCAGGAGGCAGAGGCAGGGAAATCTCTGTGAGTTCGAGACCAGCCTGGTCTATAGAGTGAGTGCCAGGATAGGCTCCAAAGCTACACATAGAAACTCTTGTCTCGAAAAAACAACCAACCAACCAACCAAACAAAACAAAACCTACCAAAAAAATCATACACAGTGGTGTTATCAGATTACCAATGTAAAGTGTGTTAAGTACACTTTTTAAAAAAATAGCCAGCATAATGCTGCTATTAAAGCAAACCAAAAAACCCTTGGAAGCTTAAATAAGAAATAAAGGCTGCAAATGACCATCAGATTAGAAAGCGACTAATACTTACAGTGGAACACATGGCCATTATCATTATGAATACAACTATTAAGGAAGAGATTAAACACAGCAAAGGAGAGATTTAGTGAAAGAGAATATAAATATAAAGAAATTACCTGAGTTATTGGACATGAAGACTAACTTCCCTACAAATGATAAACTACAGGTTGGGAACAGCCATTCTGCAGAGGGCGTTTACGGGCACTAAAGAGGTGAAGAATGACTGGTCTAAGAGAATGCGATGAGAATGATATGGCTATCTCAATAAATAGCGGAGTATAATTTAAAGCAAAATGTGTTACTAGACATAAAGCTTCATGACCATAAGCACCTTCAGTGAGTTTCGTTTAAGTCTGCTAATTCTGAGGATAGTAACTAACAGTCTGACCTCTAAGTCTAGGGATCACGTGAACACATACAAGTTAAAATGGCCCCACAACTGTTACATATGATTATTCCGGCTTTCTGTGGCCGATAGAATGAATGTCATAATCCCCTTGGATGCATAGTACTGAGCAGTATGACCCCAGGCTTATGTGTCACATCATTCCCAGTGAGTTTAGAACACAAGTTTATGTTCTTGTATACAGAACATAGTTTGAAGTCAGAAGGCTGTTACTAAGTTGAAAAGGATTAAAATAAGATCTGATGTATTCTGTGAGCACAGTAAGGTTTAGACAAAAGCCGATACCAATAACCAAAGGCTGAACAAACCTCACCAAGATAACATCTCGTGAAAGATTTGTGATAAGCAGGGACTCTGTGGTGACAGTAAAGGAACAGTTGTAAAAGGAGACAGAAAATGGTGTGTGAACATCCGCAGGAGGGACAGAGCTGGGTTGGTCAGCGACACAGACAAGCTCCTGCCTTATTTACCTTGCGTTTTGTTTTCCCAACTGAGTCTCAGAATAACGTTACATTCACATTTCTCTGTTTCCAGTGGGGGTCGTTGTCTCTTGGGGCTGTGCTGTGTTTTTATTTTACTGTTTCCTCGGTGGTTTTGCTTGCTTTTTTGTTTTTGTGTAGACCCCGTATTTCGTGCTAGGTACATTCCTAGGTGTCCTATGACTCCCTCTGCTATAAATGAAGGCCCTCCTCGGTGTTTTTCACTGGTTACTGCCAACATTTAGGAAGGTTTTAGATTTTTACTGCTAGTTTTTTTGGTTTTAATTCAAATTACTTTTAAAAATAGTTTCACTGAATTTTTATTGTGCAGTAGATATACTAACAACCACTTTAAAAATCATTTTTCATGTTTCCTGTGACTCTTAGTTGATGGTTGAGGAAATAAAGCTAGACAGAGAATAAAGAAATCACTCCAAACTACGTGACTTACCAGGGGAGGGCTGGGATTTTGATCCAAGTTTCTAACCACGGGACTGGTCTCCTGTGTTGGAATTACACTTTCCCTGATTTGTTTAAGTCCACAACACTATATGTAAAGCTATTCTGTGGTTGCAGATAAGACATGAGTACAGAGTACTTACCAAAGACACTGGGGTAGGAACGAATGGTCCAGATTAACATGGAAGTTTGCTGTGCAGTTGAAGTCAGGAGATGTTTAGAGAATATTTAAATCTGTTGAGTTCTTAAGAACTCAATCTTTAAGTAACTCAATCATTAAGGTACTCAGAGCCAATCCAAGATGATGACAAATGTGGTAAGATGCTTAGTGATGACCACTCTGTACCAGGTCTTAGGAATAAAGGATTTCCAAGTGTCCCTCGCTTCATTCAATGCAGCTCTTATGTACTGCGAATGCCTGCAAGCTGAGTGTGAAGCAGCAAAGCTATATCTTGGAGAGCAGTGTCACCAAGCGTGTGCTTGTTAGAAGTGACCAGTCACTTGAAAGTGGCCCAGTCAGAGGACAGAGCCTGAGTACCCCTAGAGCTCAGAGTTGGCATGTGCCAACGTTGACTTAGGTGGGACTTGTGTTGTGTGGGGACTTTATTCTGAGTGTAATGGGAAAGGCACCATTGTGGACCAGGTTAGAGTATTAGGGCATCCTGCTGACTGGAATAGAGTAAATCAAGAGTGGCTGTGGGAAGCCGGTCAGAAAGCTAACTATTGCCAAAGCTTCTCAGACTGGGCGCTGTTGACTCTTGTTATGGACTGACTTGTGGGTGGTAGCATTTTTTAGCAGCATATCTGATCTCTACCACTAGATGGCAGTAGCAGTCCTCACCTCCTAAATCACAGCAACCAAAATTATCTGTAGACCTTTCAAATGCTGCTTAGAAGAGGTGTGTCTGTTGCCCGGGTTAAGGGCCACTGTCATAGACCAGGTGGTGACATTGTAGGGTGACAGGAGAGGTGGAAAGACAGGCTTTGATTTGAGACTTGCTCAGAAGAGGGTTTAGCACGTTTGGGCAATGGTAGGGCGGGAGACGAGATCCTTCAGTCCCCCCCTTAGCGCCAGTGTTCAAGCGCTCTTTGGCCCCCACTCACAGCTAGCCCTTGCTCATTCTTGTGTGTTGGAGCTCCCAGTACCATCTGTGTCTTGTGGTTTATGGAAAGAGAAGAGCCCCTAACCTCCCTCTGCAGAACCCTGCATCATTTCTTACAGTATCAGAGGTGACAGGAATGCATTGTGTCTTCCCAGGAATCCTGAAGTGGGTCAAACTGATAGACAATTTTGAAGGAGAATATGACTACGTGACCAATGAGGGGACGGTGTTCACGTTCAAGACGAACCGCAATTCTCCTAATTACCGTCTGATCAACATCGACTTCATGGACCCTGACGAGTCTAAGTGGAAAGTGCTTGTTCCCGAGCATGAGAAAGATGTCTTAGGTAAGAACAGTGGCTGCTGGGAAGTTGTGCTTGTGAGAACATCATCAGGTTGGTCCACTTCACAGTCTGGTGACAGTTCCTCAGTACCGAACCCTTGGTGTGTAATTATTAGGAATGCCGTTCTTAAACGGTGTGCACTTTATGATAAAAAAGAATGACAATTCTTGTGTCGCCTTTGACTGTTTCCGCCTCTTGTAGAGGTGAGGGTGGATTTCCAGCCACCTTGCTAGAAGAGAGACTAAGTTGCACCTATGTTTAATTGGAAGCTGCTACAGGCACTTAAGCATTCTATCAAAAATTATGTGCTGACTTATAAATGAGTGCATGAAGACAGAATTTCTCTAGATGCCTCACTAGTCTAGAAAGTATCACACCAAAGAGCCCCGTTCTTCAGACCAATGAAGAGTTTGCTTGTTGAACTGAGCGTCTGTGGTAAGTTGAGTGAGGAACTAAGGCCATTCAGAAGTATACTGTGTGTAGGGAGAGCTGTGCCCAGGCTGCAGAATAGCCCTTTCTCAGCTACAGCCCTCCTGCCGTGTGTTCTCCAGGGAGTGACACATGTGTGCAGCCATGCTGACCTTACAGGTTCACATCTGGACCTGTGAGAAAGTCCTGCCCACCACGCTTTGCAGAAATGTCTGATATTGCTGGCGTGGACAGCGGAGAGCTGATCTCAGGGTCACAGGCTCCCAGGGTGTCTTTCTACAATGTCCGTGGTTCTTGAGGAAGTCGAGTTTGCTTGGCTTCTCCCCAGCCTTGGGCATTGGGCTGCACCCCTCCACCATCTGATATTAAGTATTAGGATCCCTGCCTTGAACCCCCAAGCCAGTCAGACAAGCCCCAAGACAGCCCCACCCACTCTTCCCTGCAGAATTCACACCGGCAACATGAGAGCCCCAGTTCAGCCCAGGTTTTCCACTAAGGTAGCACCTGGTCCTACCTGCTCGATCCTGCCACAGTGTAGACGTGCCAGGCTGTAGTCTCTCCCAGACTTCTCAGCATGGGGAGAGATGCTCATAGCATGCCAGGAGCACCTTCTTGTCTTCCTCAAAACCGTCTCCTCTGACCTTCTATTTTTGGATGCTGAGTTGGTCACGAGTTGCAGAGCAAGCTGGACCGTTTCAGTCATGAGTTGCAGAGCAGATGCTGGACCATTTCATTCCCTTCGGCACAATCGGGCCAGAACCCTTCCATGTCACATGGAGAGCCAGTTGACCTGTCTCTACTGAGGCAGAGCTCTCCACATGAGGTGGTACAGCCAGGAGCCCTGCCGAGGTGCCATGCTCACACCTGCTCCAAGGCAGGGACATTTGCAGCCACATGTCTCCTGTCCAGTCTGCAGGACTCATGCAGCCATGGGTAGCCAGAGTGCGACCTAAACACTATGCAGTTCTCAAGATTGAACTCTGTTGTTGTGTGTTGTGTTGTCGTGTTACTGTGGGTGCCATAAGTGAACATGACAGCCGCCACTGTGCTGAAGACTGGGCGCAGGGTTAAAACATCACAGCACACCCAGTCGGGCTTTAGCACTGCTGTTTAGTTCACTGCGTGACGTGTTCTCTGATTTTCAAAGCAGCATTGGGTTTTCTCTCTCTGTCATTTCAGAGTGGGTGGCTTGTGTCAGGTCCAACTTCCTGGTCTTGTGCTACCTCCACGACGTGAAGAACATTCTGCAGCTTCACGACCTGACCACGGGTGCTCTCCTCAAGACCTTCCCGCTGGACGTGGGCAGCGTGGTGGGGTACAGCGGGCGCAAAAAGGACTCGGAGATCTTCTACCAGTTCACGTCCTTTCTGTCTCCAGGTGAGAGGTCCTTCGCTGGTGGTGAGGGGAAGTCTTCTGGGAAGCGGCAGTGCGAAGATGTTTGTGCCTAACACAGGCTGGGCTATGGACAGAACCACCTAGAGGGAGCGGGAATTCAGGGCTGGGCTATAGACAGAACCACCTAGAGGGAACCGGGAATTCAAGGCTGGGCTATAGACAGAACCACCTAGAGGGAACCAGGAATTCAGGGCTGGGCTATAGACAGAACCACCTAGAGGGAACTGGGAATTCAGGGCTGGGCTATAGACAGAACCACCTAGAGGGAACCAGGAATTCAGGGCTGGGCTATAGACAGAACCATCTAGAGGGAATCGGAAATTCAGAACAAAGGAAACTAGAAACCGTATTCCTGTTACCTTCTGTGGGAACAGCTGCTATTCTCAGTGTCAACAAATGTACATCTTAGTCCAGGCCTTGATCTGCACAGAGAGGTACAGGGTAGGTAACAGCGACAAACCCCTTGAACAGCCACACCCAGCATACAGAATGCCTCCCAGAATGAAGTAATTCTAAAGGTGCAGTCTCATCGTCATTGGAAAAAAAAAAAGTGTGTTGTCTCAGATCTGTTAGAGAAGGAAGAGACTTCGAAGATGAGATTTTTCACTTTGTGGTATGGGTTAATTTTTTCGAAAGTAAAGTAATTCTGTTTTGTACTGTCTGCTGAGCTGGTCACATTCATCTGGCTCTGTGTGGACTTCTCTCTCCTCCACTGTATAGAGTTGTGGCCACACACAGACTGTGTTTGCCCCAGGAGTCTGCTCAGTTGGCAGTTTGTAGCTGACCAGGCAGACCCGCTCCCACACTTGTCTTGTTCATTTGCCAGGCTCCTGGGGAACACTCTCTGTCCCTCCGATTTTGTCGCCGTTATTTGCTGGTAGACGGAGCAGTCTCTGGAGAGGGTGACAAAGTGGCCAGCCTTCCTTCAGGATTTGACCAGATTGCAGTGGTGCCTCATCTGGGTGCAATTCTGTTTGCGCCTCTGAGTTCATAAGAAATCTTAGCCTGACAGCCTGCTGACAGGACTGTTACAACTGAGAGAGTGATGCTCCGTGAGCAGGTGGGGGTGCATCAGGCCTTACTCCCCAAGTACCATTCAGGGGATTGAGGGAGCCCAAGAGAGTAGAAGCAGACCCCAAAGCTGGAAGTCAGGAGCCCTGACCCTTACCCCCCTGCCCAAAACCTGGTTCTCAGCAGTAACGGATGAGCAGAGGGGCACACCCCCATCCCTGCTGTCACAGGGCCCACACTTAATTCTCAAGCTTTCCGCTGGGTCTAAACATTGTGCTTTAAACTCTTGTCGTCAGTCATTTGAGTGAATGAAGGAGAGAGAAGACAGATAAGGGTGGCTCATCCACTCTTAATAGAAATCCAGGGTCCCCGAGGCCCTCCTCCAGTGACCCCCCGTGGCTGTTTATTTCATCATTATCTGAAGAAAAGGGCTTGTTGTCCTAGTGGGAAGTGATGATGCTGTGCCAAGCAGTGAACTGCTGCCTGTGGCCGTGGCTGTGGAGGTTGGAGGGAAAAGTGTGTTCCTAGTTGCGTGCTGCTGGCTGCCCCCTAGAAAGGCTTCATTTGTTACTGTGATGTTCTTTGTCTCCCTGTCTCCTCTCGCTCACTTCCCCATCCTTCCCTTCTCTCTTAATGTAATTGACACCTAAAGCCAGAGAGTGGAGTTTCCAGACTCAGGCCTTCTAAGAAAGCCAAGTGCAAAGCAGCCTTCCAATAATTACAGAAGTTGTCAGGCAAACAGGAACTCCCTGTGTATGTACACATCCGGACACAGCCCGTACGCAAAAGATGGCCTCTGTCGGTCTGTAGATTAGCGTTCGCTACTGAAGTCAGAGCAGAGGCATGAGATGATCAGCCTCTGAGTCATAAGTACATAAGTCATGAGATGATGTACAGCCCCAGCTTCCCAGTGTAAGCAAGGTACCTCTAGCCAGGACATCAGCTGACTTCATACTGTGTGGAGATACATGGTAAAGACACATCTTGAGACCGGATCATTTGTGACTTCTGACTTCAAGTCCCACTTGGGAAGAAACAGGCAGCCAGGGCAGTCTGGAACAGGGTCCAATGACTTCCTGTGATACAGGCCACTTAGTACTTGAACTGCTTAGTTTTGTACTTGTGGAAACGTTGGGCGGGCTTGCCTTCGGTTAGCTTCAGCCAGACTTGAGCTTTGTAATAAGGCAGGGCAGCAGCTGCTAGGTCCAGCTCTTGGAGGCAGGGAGGAAAGAGCCTTTCACACATGGTTTGGAAACGACAAAATCTTTTAAAGAGCCTTGGCTTTTGTGTTTTGTTTTTACCCCCCTTTTTTTGTGAAATTAAATCCTACCTTGTAATATAGCAGGTAAGATACCTACCTGAATTATAGGACCCTGTTACCTTCTCTTCATGTGGACATCGGAGATTCCCCTGGAGATCCCCCGACCCTTTTTTTCTCCACCTCTTCCCAGAGTGCTGTCCTCCCTAATTACCCCTTCTCCGTCCTCAGCCCACACCAGCCACTCTCTGTCCTCCGTCCTCCGTCTTCAACACCAGCCACCCTCCTGTCCTCCATCTTGTCCTCCCTCCTCAGCCCACACCAGCCGCCCTCTGTCCTCCATCCTCCATCTTGTCCTCCCTCCTCAGCCCACACCAGCCACCCTCCTGTCCTCCATC